CCCATTTGTAAGATACATTTTCATTTTTGAGCTGCACAAAAAAATTGATAATTTTTCTAAATTGGACTTCACTAATTTTTTCACTTTCACTTTATCCCTTTATGATATACTATTTCATCCTTTATTTTTGTGGACTCATCTTTCTCTCAATATTTAGATCTTAAAATTGTAAAACAAACACTTTATTCCTTTTTTCCTTAAAATTACCAAATTCATATGTACTCTCTCCATCCCGTTGGAATGTTCATGTTCCCGTTCACTTTTCATTGGTCAACTTAGGCCACTCCTAATCTTTTACTTTATATATCAAATTTTTATCAAATTGAACTTTTCTTGATCAGGCTTTGTAACGATTTTAATGTAGTTTCTGAATATGTAAATTTTATTTACTAAAAATAAGCGAAGTGTGAACATGGATCAAGTTGCTTTATCATCAGTCAAGCATCGTAAACCGAACGGGAACATTCCAACGGGACGGAGGGAGTATCTTACATTAGGGGATTGGGGGACTACTATCTCACACACGTGATGAACATTGATATATTAATATAACGGCTATATAAAAGGAGACTAGGAGAGAAGGAAACCAATAGCGCCCATTCAATGATCTAATATAAAGAAATTAAATAATAGAGGACATATAAGAAAACAATTTTGAGGAAAAATCTGTCGTCCTACACAAGTTGTTGGTGAAACTAGGGGTGGACTCAACCGGGCTGAACCGGCTCGACCCGGTACTGTTCGGGCCTGGACCGGACCGGTTGGGGAGTGGCGGTTTCGGGCTTTAGCACGGTTTGGGCGGTTTGGGCGGGACCGGGCTCGGGCCCTATATTTCATGAATCGGGCCGGTCCATTTTTTTCAATTTTTTTCTTGGGTAGGGCTGGGTGTTTGGGAGGGGGGGGGGGGGGGGGTCGGGGATTAATTAGAAAGCCAAAAAAAATTACATTGAACAGGGCCCGATCAGGTTTGGCCCGGACCCGGTATCAACCAGGGCCGGTTCCGGGCCCAACATCCTAAAAAAAAGCCCGGCTTGAACCGGCTCGGCCCGGGCCTGATCCATGCCTAGGTGAAACAGAATAAAGGTTATGTACTTAAGAACTTATTCTTTAGGGACCCTTATGTTGAAGTGTTGAACACCCTGGTTAAAGTGTAAGTTCAATTTTTAACATTCTACAACTTTAAACTACCTTTTGCTTTATCTTTTTTTAGTGACTTTTAATATTACTCATGTTTTGCATTGTTTTCATTCACTTCTTTAGGATCTCATATCGAGTCATCCCTATTTAAAACTCAACATAAAATGAAAACTCGTCATAGTAGTAGCAAATTCATTGTTCATTCGGTTATCGAAATACATGAAGACTTCATCAACATCTTAAAATAATGCATATTGAAATAAATAAATAAATACAAACTTAAATTAAACCACAAATCAAAGTAGATATAATAAATCAATACAAACACGAAGTAAACAAGCAGCGGGAGGCCGATCCAAAGTCCAAGCAGCGGACCTTATCCATAAAGTGAGAGGATGAGGCCGGTCTTCAGAGTATGATGATCACGTTGAGACCGAGGGGTCAGCCACGTCTGGAGGTAAAAGACCAAGTTGAGACCGAGGGGTATGCTGTATCGATACAGAAGACCACGTTGAGACCGAGGGGTCTGCCGCGTCTTGAGTTACAAGATCACGTAGGGTCTGCCGTGTTGATACAGAAGATCACGTTGAGACTGAAGGGTCTGCCGCATCTGGAGTTACAAGATCATGCTGAGACCGAGGGATCTGCCGCGTCTGGAGTTACAAGATCACGTTGAGGCCGAAGGATCTGCCGCGTCCGGAGTTACAAGATCACGTTGAGACCGAAGGGTCTGCCGTGTCAATGCAGAAGATCACGTTGAGACCGAGGGGTCTGTCGTGTCGATATAAAAGATCACGTTGAGACCGAGGGGTCTGCCGTGATGTGAGGATGAAAACGATGATGAGCCGTTCCAATAAATGACGACGAGGCAATGATGAAGCCGATCATCATATAAAGGCGACGATCACCTATCCGGGAAGGGAATAACGAGCCCGATCTTATAGCAAGACTTTGGCGTTGAGGAGCCACTCTTTGAGATATATAATCACGCCGAGGCTGAGGGCCGTTCGTGATTTGAGGACGGATGGCGTTGGGGAGGTAGTCTGTAGTATGATGACGAGGCAATGATGAAGCCGATCGTCATATAAAGGCGATGGTCACCATCCATGAAGGGATGTCGAGCCCAATCGCTAGCTCAAGACGCTCAGCACTGGGGAAGCCGGTCTCGAGATAGAGGATCACGCTGAAGCTGAGGAGCCTTTCGTGATTTGAGGATGACGGTGATGATGAAGTCGGTCGTCATACAAGCTCAAGACTCGCGGCGTTGAGGAAGCCAATCTTGAGATAAAGGATCAGGTCAAGGCTGAGGAGCCGTTCGTGATCTGAGGACGACGGCGATGATGAAGCCGATCGTCATACAAGCTCAAGACTCTCGGCGTTGAAGAAGTCGGTCTTGAGATAGATGATCATGCTAAGGACCGTCCTATAAAGGTGATGGTCCCCATCCTGGAAGGGATGGAGAGCACGATCGCTAGCTCAAGACGTTCGGCGCTATGGAAGCCAGTCTTGAGATAGAATCACACTGAGGCTGAGAGGCCGTCCGTGATTTGAGGACTCCGGCAGTGATGGGACGGTCAGCATATAAAGGCGATGACGAGGCAATGATGAAGCCGAATGTCATATAGAGGGCATGTTCGGGCTGAAGGGGATTACTGCAATGTGTTACCCCAAGGGCTTCGTAACCTAGGTTGTTCGAGGGGTGCTGGTGGTGCTTGTACTCGGACTAATTTTGTAATAGCTCTCTCCTTGTAATGGTGTTTTGTCCTCCGACCTAAGGAAACATGTATTCAGACGATCTTGATCCTTATTTTTATGCCAATGAAAGATTGTTTTTCCTTCATTTGTTGAATGCCTTCGACTTTGCTTTCTGTTAGTGTGCATGTATGCTTTCCTTCCATTTGTGCCTCGGGGCCCCCCTAGTTGTGGACTTGGAAAAGTTTCAACCCAACACATAAAGTAGGTGTGGACTTGGAAAATTTTCAATCCAACGTGTGAACTGATAGCCTCCGGTGCCGGCTGATGTGCCAGGAGCTCTTCAACTGTGGACTTAGGAAAGATTGCATCCAATACATAACCCCGGAGCCTTCGGTGTTGCCTGATGTGCAGAGGGCTCTTCAACTGTGGACTTGGCCGTTTTTCAAAACAAATGAGCAACCACAAACCTCCGGTGACGGGTTGATAAGCCCGGGGCTCTGAAAATGTAGATTTCACCACCAGGCCTCATGGTGTCGCCAAGGGTATTAGCTAGTGACGTACGTAGGATACATAGGGACGTTCGACCCTATGGTACCAAACCCGGAAAGAAGATAGCTGCATTCCAAGGATAACCTTCTGGGGATGTACGTCAGGAGACACAGAGTGGCTCATCGACTTGGGAGGTGCCAAGGGTATTAGCTGGTGACGTACGTCGGATACATAGGGGACGTTCGGCCCCATGGTACCAAACCCGGAAAGTAGATAGCTGCATTCCAAGGATAACCGTCAGGGGACGTACGTTAGGAGACACAGAGTGGTGCCGTAAGTCAGATTCAAGGCTTCTTCGTTTTGTCCCCATAGGGGACGTTCATCCTCAGGATACCAAACCCGGAAAAGAGATAACTATAATCCAAGGACAACCGTCACGACATACGTCACGAGACACAGAGTGGCTCATTGACTTGGGAGGTGCCAATGGCGATAGCTGGGGACGTACATCGGATTTAGTTCTTCTTCCTTTCGTCCCCATGGGGGACGTTCGTTCTCAGGGTACCAAAAATCCGGAAAGGAGATAGCTGCTTTCCAAGGATAACTGTTAGGGGGACGTACGTCAGGAGACATAGAGTGCCGACGTACGACCAAATTTCCCATGCTTTATTTCTTTCCACGTTGATTATCACGCCTTCTTTTGGGTAATCCCCGGTTTTTCGACTGAAGGGTCTTGAATTGTGGACTTTGTATAATTTCCTCATTGATTGCTTGCTGAGTCTACTCCCCCTCGCTCCTTTTTTTTCTTTTTTTTTTCTTTTTTTGAAGATGGGGGAGGCTTCAAGAAACTTGGTTTCTTGGGAAAACTTGATCTGTTTGGGAGGCAACGGTTTGAACCGCTGGCTCCCCCCTCGGTGTTTGACCTTTCGGGATCTGAGGGGTGTGAGAGTCGTTTCCTCAGCCTGAGACATCGTCTGTTGCCTACCTTCCCTTGGGGAACGACACGGAAAGCGTCTCGGTTTTGAAAGTCGTTCCCCCAGCACGAGACATTGTTGTTGCTTGCTTCCCCTTGGGGGATAACGCGAGAAGCGTTTCGTTTGTGAAAGTCAAATCCTGGGCCCGGGACATCGTTGTGCCTGCCATTCCCGCGGAAAGCATTTCAGGGAAGGGTTTTATTTGCGTGCTAGACGCAAATGTACGGGGGCACTTGGTGCTTCCAGAACCGATAGGTGGCGCCATCGGTGTAGGGGCGTCCTCAAAGGGAACGACTTTGTTCTTAGCATATTGTTGTGGGTGTTCATCTAAAACACTTGGTGTTTTTACCGACGAACCCGTCGTTGGTACTTGGTACCGACGAACCCATCGTTGGTACTTGGTACCACCCATGTGAGCACTAAATGTTTCAGATTTCAGCACATGTGGACCTCTCACTCTACTTTTTTAAACACCGTTAAACTCTCATGGGACAAACCTTGTGAGGGGTATGGTATGTGGAAATTCACCGGTAAACTTAAACGCTTGAAAATTGACCTAAGGGATTGGAACAACTTGGTTTATGGAAATATTTTTGATAAACGGTCTGAAGCTGAATCTGAAATATCTTTGTTAGAGAACAAACTTTCTGATTCCCTTTCTCAAGAAGACCTTAATCTTCTTAAAGATGCTCAGGCGAGATACATCCAGTACTCTGCCTATATAAACACGTTTTATAGGCAAAAGGCTAAAATCAAATGACTAACGGAGGGCGATGTAAATACTAGTTTTTTCCATCACTCCTTAAAAGCTAGACACAAAAAACTAAACATAAATAAAATCCAAAATGAGGATGGTTCCTGGATTGAGTCTCCGGATGACATTGATAAAGCTGCCATATCTTTTTTCTCCTCCCTTCTTACTGCTAATGATGATGTTACAGAAGCTCAGGACCCTAGTTCTTACATACAGAATCTGGAAAAGGTCATTGATGACACTGATAATAAAATCCTGATGTGCCCTATCACATCCAAAGAGGTAAAGGATGTTGTCTTTAGTCTTGATAAATCTAGTGCTCCAGGTAGTGATGGTTTTGATGGCTTATTTTATCAGGTAACCTATGATATCATTGTTGATGATCTTATTATGCTGTTATGGAATTTTTTGTAGGGTCCCTATTCCTAAAGTTATTGGTCACACTCTTATTGCTCTTATCCCTAAGCAACCCAATGCCTATCAATTTTCAAAATTTCGTCCCATCAGTCTTAGCAATTTCATTAACAAAATTTTTACTAAAATCATCACCAACAGGATTACCTTACTTCTTCCTAAAATCATTTCAAATGAGCACACCGCTTTTCAAAAGGGCAAGGAGATCTCGGACAGTATCCTTGTTCTCAGAGAGCTTGTCAACCACATCAATAAAAAAACTCGTGGTCACAATCTCATCTTTAAATTTGACATCGTTAAAGCTTTTGACAGGCTCTCCTGGTCATTTATCACTCATGTTTTGATTAAGTTAGGTTTTCATTCTCATTTTGTTAATCTTATTCAAAACAATCTTAAGGCTACTTGGTTTTTGGTCTTGATTAACGGAGCACCTAAAGGTTTTTTCCAAGCCTGGCGGGGCGTGAAACAGGGTGACCCCCTTTCCCCTATTTTGTTTATTATAGTTGCTGAAGTTTTAACCAAAAACCTAAATCATTTTTACAAAAATGATTGTGGAAATGCCTTCAAAACCCTCCCTGGCTAGCCTACTATAATTCACTTGTCCTTTGTTGATGACGTCATTGTTTTTTCTAATGCTGAAAAAATGCTACACGGTCTTTCCAAGATTCTTTCTGATTATGAGAATTACTCAGGGCAACTTATTAGCAAGGACAAGAGTTTTTATCTTATTTCTAAGCATGCCAAGACTCACAACTGTAATATTGTCAATCAGATTTTCAACGTAAAAAAGGTTCTTTTCCCTTTATTTATTTGGGCGCTAATATTCACACGGGAAGAACTTTAAATAGACATTTTGATGACATATTGATCAAATTTGATAATAAACTCGCTGGCTGGAAACATAAATTGCTTTCGGTGGGCGGTAGAATTGTTTTAATTAAACATGTTTTGGGTTCCATCCCCCTTTATCATATGGTTGTCTCCCCCATCCCCAAAAATGTTATTCAGAAAATGGAGAGGAAACTCTCTAATTTTTGTGGGATAAAGGTGATGATCAAAACAGGAGAATTTGGCGTAAATGGTCTAAATGTTGTTATCCCGTTACCGAAAATGGTTTAGGCTTTAGAAGCCTTCACCATATTCAAAAGACCTTTTTCCTTAAACTTAGGTGGAAACGTGAGAAAGGAATTGGGTTGTGGGCTAGTTGGGTTAATTCCCTTAAAGATGACACCCGGTCTGTGATGTACTCCCTCCGTCCCTTAAAACTTTGCCAACTTTCCTTTTTTGGAGCCTAAATCACTCCAATTTCTGGGATGCAGTTTTAATCGTGCTATCTGAGCCTTTTTTGAAAACATTCTTGATTTTCGGCCCCCTCACAATGATAGCATTGTCAACTACATGAAACTTTGGTACAATGATTATAACGGCCCTTTCAAGGATATTGCCACAACTCTCCCGAACATTATAATTTGGCATATTTGGAAAATTCGGAATACCTTTCTTTACGAAGGCAAAATTGGCCATTTACCTGAGGCGGTAAAAGCTATTAAAATTGAAATTTTTTCCCTATCAGTTGCCAAACCATTTATCATTACCGCCCCCACCCCCCTTTTCACACCATTACCACAAGACCAAAAAATTGTCGCCCACCAGTGGCAAACCATTGGCGCAAGCCTCCACCTACCTATCAAAAAATCAATCTCGCCTCCCGCATCCTTGAACCCAACCTCATCCGCACTAGGGCCCTAATCCGTGATGCATCTGGCAACTACAATGGCCATCTTACCAAGATTGATAAGCACTCTAACCTCTCTCTTGCTCTCTATGATATGATTATTGCTATTACCTCTCATATTTTTGATAACATTATTCTTGAGGTTGATAACATAGAGATATAGAAAGGCATCATCGGTCACTCCATTCAACACTGGAAGTATTGGTCTCGCATTCGCACAATAAAAAAGAACCTTCAAGATATCATTTGGTCTATCCAACACATCACTCCAGGCATTAATAGAGCAGTTGATTTCTTTTCTTATCGTTACGCCTCTATTAAAACCATTACTCATCATTTTAACCAGTTTGTTGGTATTCTTAAGTTTGACGCCATTAGTTTTCCGTATGTTGTGTAATCTTTATAGTAGGCTTTGGCACGATCCTCCTACTACTTGTATTCTTGCTTTTTCTATAAATAGGTGAGGTGTTCCCTGGCCCTCACCCCAAAACCCTCGGGTTTTGGATTAATACCGGGTCAAAAAAAATAACAATGTGAATATACAAGTACCGAAGGTTTCACGTAAAAGGACAACAAAAAACATCATAACCGAACAAAATAGAACAACATGAGATTAGAGGTTTCTATATGCATCCTACTATGTTTGAGAAATAATATTTTCTTTCAAGCTAAGAGGCTTCAGAAATAATATTTTCTTTCAGTTTTCTTTAAAATTGAGCAATGATAAAATCAACATTGTGCTACGTAAAAGTTGTTGGGTGTGTCTCGGAAAAACGAAGAAATATTAATTAATAAAAATAATTAATTAATTAAATAGCCAAAGAAAAACAGAAAAAGAGACGGGACAGAGTTTAGCCAGAGCTCGTGCTACGCACGATGTCCTTAAAACGTATTCGTCGCCTCCCACGGTGCTAGGAGCGTTGCAACGACCGTTTCCCAGGATACGGTGACTAACGAACTAACGATTGAGCACATAAACGAGAGTTCCGGCGAACGAGAACAAAGGAGAACACTCAGGAATTTTTTTCCAGAGTAGCTGGAAGTATTTTAGAGCTCAAAATACGTGCAGATAGTGTATGATTGCATGTGTTGTTTCAAAGCACCTGCCAGCTATTTATAGGAGGATTTGTTGTGTGCTAAATGGGGTGTTAATGGACCTGAACGTTGGACATGAATGACCAGTCCGCTGGGCATTGAATCGTCCATAAACTGTCCATTTAACGCTGCATTAAAAGACAAGAACGTTGGGCATTTAATGGCTGTAACGGCTTGGAGCAGTTCTGGTGCGCGACCAGAATACGCCCCATCAGACTTGGAGCAACTCTGATGCTACCAGAATACCTCCACCAAAGGTGGAACACCTCTGGTACGAAGCCACCAGAGTTCGAGCAGTTCTGGTCTGGAAAAATAAAACGTTACGGGAAGAAACAAAAATTAAACTGTATCTCTGAATCCGACATGCGTGTCCGCAGGTCACCCGTGCAGACGTGTCGCAATTTTTCTTCTCCGTTTCGAGATTTGATGGGCAGCCCCCCCTCCCTACGCGTAAGAGAGAGCCTTTACCTTTAGGAATCTTAACTCCTTAAAAGAGGCTTCCCTTTATAAGGGGGTGAAAACCCCTTGAGTTTTCCGGTGTGGTATAAAACACACTAGAAACTCATCATTTTCCCAGTTTTTCCATTTCAACGAGTGAACTTCGAGAATCCATTTCTCATTCACCCGTTATCCGTTTTGAGCGTACCATATATCGAATTGTAGCCCTTAACAAGGACAATCCGAAACGACTTTGACCTGCCCCAAATCGGAAGTGGACCCCACTCAAATAATTGCCCCAAAATGACCATTTAATGCAATTTTTAACACATTTTTCCAACAAAAGTAACCGAAATTTGTTTAAGGATATCTTTATTAGTAAGATTCCAAATATTTACAAATTGATTAAAAAGTAAAGTATTTGTCCATGGAGAACGTGAAAGGAGTCTTCTTTCACCTCTTCATTTCGAAGGTGTGAAGCAATGTGCCTAGAAAAATAACATGATGAGGAATACAAATTTCACATAGAAACGAGAGTTAATAAAATCTGCGGCAGAAATCAGAAATGAGTTTATCTCAATGTTTATTACAAAACTTGTTGTTGATTTTAATCCAACACGATATAGTAAACATAGATTTAAATATATATGAATGCTCTATTTTTACGTGGAATCCGAAAGGGAGAAAACCAGGAACTTTTCAAGTGTTGAGTTTAATCCAACACGAAATAGTAAATAAATATATGAAATCTATATGAACACTCTATTTTTACATGGAAACCCGAAAGGGATAAAACCACGGGGTTTTTCGGGCTAATGTTCAAGCCACTCTCATTCTCATCAATACTCTCCTCACCATTGTTACATGTACCAAGCTTCCATTAATGAAATCACGAGCTAGTCTAGAGAGATGAAGAATTGTGGGGAAGAAGCCAACCCCTAACATGGAGAAAAAGGCGCCTATTTATAGATAAAGGGGTAGGGGATAAAATCTACCAAAATGGGCCAAATGGGTCAAAATGGGCCGGATGGGCCGAATTGGGTCGGATGGGTGGAAGTGGGCCTCATCGATCGGGCTCCATACTGGGGTGAGGGTAATATCTTGGGTCCATGAACATTAGTAGGCCAGAATAATATACCTCAACACTTGCAAAAAGATATTAAACTCTCCAATAGATTCAAGGATAAGGTGATATTAACATTATTACTATCAAACAATGATGATCTAGTTGTAGTGAAGAAGAAGTAATATCCATTAGTTTTCATGAACATTGTGATTCTCGTAAAATAAACACGCTTATGAAATCCAATACTCGCCTGTTCAACTTAAACAATTTTCATAATCCATAAAGTTTCCAATCAATTTTTGGGAAGTAGTCCAGTGATACTCTACAAGAAGAACTTGAGATAGCCAAAGATCTTTCAAAAAACTGCACATATAATGAAAATAATAAAATAAGAAAATTGAGATTAAAAAAATCAAATGATATGGATGAGATTGCACAAATATGTTATAAAACACTACTTGAAGTCATAAGAATTGAAAAAGAAGGGGAGGGTACCTATAAATGACCGGAAACTAAAATTTCATAATTTGATATACATAAAATTATGAAAGATACAAAGAAAGCCAAAACTCTGCACACATTTCGTATATTTTAGAAAGGATTGTAAAGAAAAAAATCATATCTAATGGAATAATGGAATAATATTGGAATTGCATGTTTCGATTATTGTACTCTGTATTTGATTGTTTTGTAACACTGACTTGCCTAAATCAACCTTCTTTTCTTTTTTCCATTGTTCACTATCGTATTTTTAAACATTTATAGAGACATATGTAGAACCTAGCATACTTGGAGTTGGAGTGTTTATTTGTCATGTATCCCATTTCGGTAAGCATTTCAGAAAGAAGGAAAGTCAAGCTATACCATCACAACTACACAGGATGAATTATATACTACTCCCCTAAGGAACAACACCGATAAATTATTGAGACAAAATACTTTTTAACCAAAAGTAACAACTTATCACATTTATAGTTTCATTTTTTAAATTAGATTAAACACAATCCTAACAGAGTGCTCAATCAGTTGTACGTGTATTTAAAGAGTACGATAGTATATATGTCAAAGAACACATAACATTTCATGTACTTTAGAGCTTACAATTCTAGACAGTCATAAAATACAGAAAAAAACATGGATGGAATAATATCTAAGATTAATAGATTGTGTATCGATTACGGAAGACACTGTAGTGATTCTCAAACCGCTAATGATCATTGACCCATTGAATTAAGAAGAAATAGGGATTGAGGAGAAAATATATCATCTAAACTAAAAAAAACTAAAATTGATCAACCTTAACTATAGAAATTAATATATTTTTCTCATAAAAATATTTCATCGAACACCTTATATGCTGATATTGATGATCATTGACCAATTGACCAATTCAACTAAGGAAACTAAAAACACTAAGTCATACACTGATTTTTTCTCATATATATAAACATTTTATTGAACACCATATATGTACGGGTGCACCTAAAACTCATGTAAAAAACGTGATAAATAAATTCATCAACAATACACCGAAGTGACAAACATGGAATGAGAAGAAGAGATAAATTGGCTGAAATATTGCCCGAGGATTCAGAATGACCGAAGTATGCATTTGCAGGTCTCCTAGTATGCATTTGAGGGCCAATAAGTGTGACAGATCTATTCAACGTCCAAAAGGTTGAATCCCCAACCCCAAGGCCCCCCCCCACCCCGACCCGACAGGATGGTGGGGGAGTAAATCACGGTGACTCAGTCGGCAAAGCGACAGTAGGACTTTACCCGTGCACACCAGAGGGCCAGCCTTATTTCAGGTTCTGAAAACCCCCTTTTGGCCGCTGCGGGATTCGAACCTTGGTCTACGTCCAATTTTTCCCACCGCTCGACCAACTGAGCTACCCGTGCGGGTTCACAGATCTATTCAAAGTTAAAGAGGGAAGAGTGGATTATAAACACCCTTACGAACAAAGTATAAGGTCTTGAGGGTTGCAAAAAAATCAAATAGAACATATTGTACATGCAAACTCTTGTGGTATCTCATCTCCCAATTTCTACATAATTTTTCAGAGAAAAAATAGCTCAAGATTTTGCTCATACTATTGGTATATACCCCATAAAAGTAGTAGTACTTGGAAGAGTTGCACTTTTAACAACAAAAATTATGAATGTTAAACAGCCAAAAACCATATCAAAGTAAATGAGGAAGAAATTTTAAATGAAAATAAACAAAGCATTGACCCCATTCAGAAGACCACCACTATGGTGTAATAGTTTGGACCTTGACATCTTACTTGCATCTAAACTAAAAAAAACTTAAACTGAACTAAATAAATTAATGCTACGTATAATTTTCTGATTCAAAACATTTCATCTAACAACTACTACAGCTACAAAGTGACACCTCCATAGTGACACTTCCACAATGGCACCGGTATCAACAACTACAGCTACAATTACTTTGGTCACCATCGGCTACCACCACCAGCGACCTACCTCAACCCCCAATCCCCAGCCCGAGCCCCAAACCTACAGGCTACAGCTCATCACCACCGTCATAACTACCGCTGCCACCCAATTTTAGTGACATGTGAAACGCCAGTGATACTACCATGACTTGGACAACGCCCTCATCCCGCCACAATGACTCCTTCCCGCTGGTACCGCGGCCTCGCCCCCGGTGACACCACTACTGCCTTTGACCCCTCCCACCCCAAGCTCCCCAGCCCCTGCCCCAACTCCCCCGCCACATCTTCCTAGCTCCCAATCTCATCACCTCAGCTTTCTTCCCTTTCCCCAGCCCCTGTAACTAGAATCCCAGCCCAGCTACTCCCCAACTGCCGCAACATTATCATGAATCTGGAACTTCCCTAGAGAGACGCCGGACAGAAAGAGAAGAAAAGGAGGTGGCGTAGGGCGATGACGATGACGAAGACCATGGCGGGGAAGAGGACAAAGGTGGTTGCGAAGGAGAAGGCGACAGCCATGGAAGCTGAGGTGGTGGCAACGGCCAGAGAAGCTGAGGCGCTAGCGACAGCCGAAGAAGTTGAAGCGGCGAAGATATATTGTTTTGTTTGTGGTGGAGATCGATGCATCTGCTTGGGTGTGCTACGTTTCTCCGTCTAAGGCAGTTGCTGGGTTCTAAGTTCGAGCGCATAAGTGTGGAGGATAGATTATGATCGGGAGAACTATCAAATAACCCTCAAACTTTCATAAAAAGTGCAAATAAGCCCTTTTACCGGAGGCTTTGTCCGGCTGTCGCCGTTGGGGGCGGTTTCCGGTGGAATTTTTTAATGCAATTTTTTATCATCTTCTTCATTAAGCCTAGTTTACTCATACCAAATTTAAGCTAAAAATTCAATCGAAAAGGTAGTCAAATGATTTTTTTAAATATATTGTGTTGTGTAACTGCGCAGTTATCTTAAAAAATTCATTTGACTGCCTTCCCGATAGAATTTTTAGCTGAAATTTGATATGAATAAATTTGACTTAATGAAGAAGATACTAAAAAAATCATCAAAAAATTCCACCGAAAACCGCCCTAAATGGCAACGGCCGTACAAAGTCTCCTCTAAAAGAGCTTATTTGCAATTTTTACAGAGAGCTTATTTGCAATTTTTACGAAAAATTAGAAGGCTTATTTGATAGTTCTCCCGATTATGATTCACGGATACTCCCTCCGGTTCCTATTAAAGTTCTCAGTTTGACTTCACACAGATTAAGAAAATAAATTTGACTTTACTGTGGAGTGCACTGTTTGACACTGTTTGGACACTATTTGGCACTGTTTGGACACTGTTTGACACTGTTTTGTTTCCTACAATGGAAGTGTGAACTTAAATAAGGGACATCCAAAAAAGGAAAGTGAGAACTTTAATAGGAACCGGAGGAAGTATTAAATTCCAACCACCTAGTTTTGATCACTTTTTTGTTTAATAGGAACCGGAGGAAGTATTAAATTCCAACCACCTAGTTTTGATCACTTTTTTGTCAAAACTGGATTTTAATCATATTTTTGTCTTCTATAAGTTATTACTAATATTTAGGTCCTTATTCCAAATATGTTCGATTCCCCATCCAATTATTGCATCATTTAAAATCAAATAACAGATATTTTGCTAATCAGATATTTTGCTAATCAGAACTATAAATAAATTAATGCAACACATCAATATAGAGATATAGAGTAACGTAAAAATGTATGAAGCTATCATAGGTTCTGAAAGTTGGAAAACTCCTTCCCATCCAAATTCGAACAGATTAAAGGTCACGGACATAATCCGCGAGGTCATGACATAAACTCCATTTTTTCTTAACAGCATGTGGTTATCTGAAAAACAATAACATATTAAAAACTGCCTTTAAACCCAATTTATGTTCAGATACCATAAAGTAAAAATGTCTTAACAGATTCATGTATAGATGACTAGATGAGATCATGAGAAGGATGGATTGATGGAATAGAGTATTCCAAATTTCAAGAGTCACTCCTGCTTTGGGACTTAAAAAACAAAAATGTATTTCTTCAACGACCAAACAAATAGCCCACAGCCAGAAAAACAAAACAAAAACTTGATATTTTGGAAGAGGAAAGTTAATAATAATGTGCAGCCTATGCCTTGACTCGACGATAAAACTTTTGCTTCTCATCAGTGGTTTGGAAACGGCCATGCCCGGTGTTTGAGGAGGTGTCAATGAACTTGAGGTTAATCTGTTCATTAGCACTGCGGGTGGTCTGTCTGAGCAATGACTGGCGAAGAGTGACAACCCTCTTCTTGGGACCAACGACACCACCCTTGATCATCAGGTAGTCCTCCTTCACAACACCATAATGGGGGAAGCCGCCCATGGGAGTGATATCCTTCTCAGTCCTGATCATCAATTCAAAAAGAAAAGGGTGAGTTTTCATCATCCCCAAAACATCCTGTATGGTGAGCATACAAATTTTGACTTTAGGCACAGTACAACTCGAAGAATCACCATATCCTACAGCTTTCCAATATATCACTCCGTCCCAAAAATGTTCGCCAAATTGACTTTTCTTGGTCAATGACAATTCAACATTGACCAACAATACGAAAATTATTGAGTATAAAAATTATATCAAAATGTTCCTCATTTATAAATTCTAGACAAATATAAATATAAAATCAGTCAAAAATTCAGCATCTTGACCAAGAAAAGTGAACATGGCGAACCTTTTTGGGACGGAGGTAGAATTTGTAAGTTTACCAGAAGTGTTCATATGTATCACAAGAAAAAATTACACCAGGTGCAGCAGTTGACAGATTGTTGATCCTTAAGAAACTATATATATTAAATTCTAACACTTGTGTAAATAGATACTTTGTACAAAGTAAATAAACAAATAAATTATTTCTCCAATACACATCAAAATTCACTTCAAAAACTCTTTTTACAAACAAGCAAGTCCATATTAAAAATATATAGAAATTAAAAAATAAACTAATAAAAATGTGTCCCAAAGGAGTTAAAGGACTCAAACACTTAGATTTTATTAAACCAAAAAAAATATTTTTCAAAACTTCAATTCATCATTTGAGAGAATTGAGTGATCTAAATCAATAGCATACATATCTTGACGAAAAAAGAAAACAATTAAATAGACAAGAAAAATGGCTAATTAAAAAGTTCTTCCGACATGAGTGAAAAAAAGAATTTTGGGACATGGGAGTATATGTGAAAATTTAATAATTACTAGTATACTAAGAATAACCTGTCATAGTCAGTTGACGCAGTATGGGACTCTTGTCCAGCTTTGCCAAGCTTATACACCTTCTTGTTCAACTCTGTACGGTGATGGTACCCATTCTGCCCTGCACGAGCAACAGTGAACGAAACCCTGGCAGGGTGCCATGCTCCAATACATGCAACCTTACGAAGTCCTCTGTGGGTCTTACGGGGGAGACGTGTGACACCCCAACGGGTGACAACACCTTCAAAACCCTTACCCTTGGTGACACCAATTATATCAATCATTTCATCCTTTTGGAAAACTGCATCCACAGGAACCTGCTTTTCAAAGAAACTATAAGCATAGTCCACTTTTTGTGCAATGGTCCCTCCATTCACCTGGATTTCCATAACATGAGCCTTCTTCTGCTTCAGCCCTTTCATCTTTCTTATCTACATTACATCAAGGGGTTCATTTGATCAGAGAACAAAAGAGAAGGGTTATGTGCTTCTAATATGTATTTCAATTATAAGTTCTAGAATATAGTGCTTGGCAAATTAAAAGAATGTAGAACGGAATATAGTGCTTGGTAAATTAAAAGATAATTTTTACATAGAAAGGAATGTAGTGCTTGGTAAATTAAAAGATAATTTTTAGACAGAAAGGAATTTAGTGTTTGGTACATTAAAAGATATATTAGACATTTATTTTGGCATCTTTGTCTTTGTGTAATACTTAGTACAAAATAAAGTCATTGAGTTTGAGCATATTATTTAATTTACCAAGCACTTCATTCTTTTTTATTTCCATCTTTTTATTCCATTTTTACCCATTTATATTCTGCTTGGGATAAAATAACCCAGCTCCATAAAACACTCGAGCAACCAATATTTATAATAGCTTCATAGGTGTTTGAAAAATGTGCATTTAAACCTGGGTATGAGCTAAAACACGAATGACAGAGCAGTATTTTTTTAACTTCTCCAGCTGAGCATGGATATCCTTCTTTCCCTCCTCTGTTTCGTATTTACGTGAGTGGTTCATGAACGCCTTTTTCTTGGACTTGCACCAGTTTTTGTAGAACCTCCTTCTTAGCTCCTCACTCAGATGTTGAGCCCAAACAGTGTTTAGGCATCGAAGACCACGAGGCGTTTTTGTATATCCCACTAGTCCCACAATGATCATAGGCGGAGTTTCGACTATTGTAACGGGCTCACATGTTTCTTTCTTGTGTAATTCTAGAAAAAACCATAGTTTAAGAACAACGAATCATTAATTTTATAAAAGCAAAGTACAGAGAAAATTCAGAACTTGTCAATTAAGATGCATACAACATAGCGTACAAAAAACAGAACACGAATAAAATAATATGATACATACTTGATCCTGGTTTCTCAACTTCTCTCACAATGTGTGTCATGCCAGCCTTGTAACCCAAGAATGCAGTCAGTCTACATGGTTTGGAAGGGTCATCCTTAGGAAATGCCTTCACTGCATATGATATATTGACTCAGTGAATGTGAAGACGGTAGATTTGCATTTCACACAATGCAGAGATATAATTCATTCAATCATTGAAATGGAATCTTGTTTTCAACAACCAGAAAAAAAACCGGCTGCACCATTTAACAAGCACCAAATCCACGAATATATATTATCTAAAACAAGATAAATTGAAATAATGTAGTAAACAATGTAATCTTCAAATAAATAGTAACAATTGAATGGATAAGAGGGATCAAATGTTATTACTTTCTCTACTCCTTAATAAATGTAATAGTAGTATTAGTATAAAATAAAAAAAGAGCAGTTATAATCGACAAATGTGTAACAAAGTTTTGAACAAATATGCACATACACTATGGGTTAATGTGATTATACTTTCAGATAACAAATCTAGTATGTAGCTATTTGGGCAAACTCGTGTAATAAATTACAAATATAATATAATAATAATAATAATAATAATAATAATAACAGTACGCTATTCTTGAGTAGATATTTGTCATCTTATGCAATACCTTTAAATAAAAAAATGTGACCACGCACATAAAAATTCATACTCCCCCCGTACCATTAGAAGGTTCCCACTTTCCTTTTTGGATGTCCTATATAAAGGTTCCCATTTCCATTTTAGGAAACAACTAACAATCTTAAGTGACAAATTAATCATTAAATATTAAAAATAATACATTTATAACATCACAGTTATCAAAACTAACTACATTATAATATATACCTATTAAAATTATTTTTCAAAATATACTCGAAATACTTTATTTAATTATTGTCTAAATAAACGTGCCGTTTTGCTATGGGAACCTTCTAACGGGACATGGTAGTATATAATATCTGTACACAATGCTGAAAATATAAATAAAGCTAAAACTATTTATTGAACTAAAATTCTCAAAGGTTGTTTGAATCAAAATAATTTTCTGAACCCAATATTATCAAGTAAGAACACAGCTTTCGTTGAGAAGCACGAAACAACTTTAGCTACTTTTTATTGCTAACCGATTCACGAATTTCCCTTGCACTCTGTTTCTATACGATCTCTCTCTTATAATATTTAGACACCTCAAGGACGCATGTATATTTGAATCAAATCACGAAAAGAATCAGGAGATCTGAAGCAGAACAACCAACGAAGTCATACCCTTTCCCCTGTGTCGAGAAGCGCGTTTCCTAGGAAGAAATCCAAGGGAACCATGTCTAGGGTGCTCAAACTTCCTGTGAGACATCTTCCCGCTCTTGCTTACAACTCTGCAATCGAACAATTATCAAAGGAGAATTAAATCAACGAAAAAATTGACTTATTTCAAGCCATTACACTACAATCAGATCGGGGTTGAGCAAATCGAAGCAAAAATAATTTAACCTATAAATCAAGACTCCTGAAATCGAACGATGGGACCTTTTGCTAGTCCGCGGCCAGCTACGAGCTCAACCCTTACACAGCGAAAACCTAGGAAGGTTATAAACAAATCCAGTTAGGGCCATACATGATGGCTTAGGGTTAGAACGCCCAATTGCGTTTTTTCCTGAAAACTCGAGAACTGAAAAGTAGTGCGAGCCGCTAGTTAAATAAGGTAGAAGAACTAAACAAACTTTAGTACATGCATGCACATTTTATTGGATAACGTGAATAAAAAAAGTAGTCAATTATTCTTTAAAAAAATATTTATTTTTTTTTGGGAAGAATTTGGCTTAAATTGAAATCTCAACGTTTAGATGATGAGTAATCCGACAAATAGAATCCTGACAACCGTTGTCCCGTGAACCAGACTCAGAGTTAATCACCTCATTAGAAGCAATATAACTCGTTGATCCATTAGTGGACACAAATGAGCCAAAAAACGGTTACCCCAATTCCGATGTCACCCACATCCAAATCCAATGTCTTACAACCAGGAAAAACAACAGCAAAACCAAATAAAAAACATACTGAGAAGTCTGAGTAGTAATAAAAATTAAAATAAAAATATAATAGTCTGCCTCCCGATCTGCTTGCTCTGCATCCTTATCAGGAATCCTTACTTCTGATTCTGACTTCTCTTAGGCGGGCTTACTCATCGAAGCCCGTCTCCTCCCCGTTTTTTGTCCCATCCAGTGCCATACTTTCCTTCCCTTGCAGTTCATCTCCCTGAGTCTCCCATAGCCTCCTACGCTTCTGTTCTCCTGTTGCTTCTTCCTTATTCTCTTCTCTTGCTCCCTTTGTTATACTCTGTTCTGAATCTGCACCCAAATCTTTCCTCCCATCTCTCAACCTATCTTCTGATTTAATCTCCTCTCCATACCTATAGTCCCTGCCAGAGCTCGATGAACCCTCCAGCAACCATTGGAATTTGGTTTCCTCCTGTAGGACTCGTCTTCCCTCCGCTACTTGCTCTAAGATGAACTCCATACTTTTTCTGCACCACTAGGTCTTCTTCGTAGTTCAAGTGACAGAATTTGTCTGAGTGTCCAATTAGCCCACATATAAAACAGAAGTTTGGCAACTTCTCATATTTGAAATCTACCCAGAAGCTTTTGCCATCCTTCTTCAGATTAGTACCTCTTCTGAGTGCTTTCTCCACATTCATACACACTCGTATTCTCATATAGGCCTCCCACTTGTCACTACTCTGGTCATCATCGTATTTTATAAATTTTCCTATCAAATTACCCACTCTCCGGGCCGTACCTAAATTAACCAGACTATAAGACACATTATGAACCTGAACCCAAAAGTCTGCCTCATTCAGAATAATTTTGTGAGGTATATCATCACGTTTAACCTCTTTTAATAACAACAAATTTTTCTCAAATTGCCATGGTCCTCCATCCAAAACACGATTCATATCTAACCGATAATAAAAAGTAAAGAGATACATTTTCTCCCCGACTTCTTTAACTGATAGGCCTTTCCCCGGTCTCCATAGCGACGCTAACATCTCTTTAATCGCTGGGAAACGGACCTTCCGATCCGTCAACAGAACCCCGACCACTGGGAAGCCCAGTCTGCTCTCCTCCTTCGGCTCTTTGCCCGCCTCCGCATCGTCAAGATCCAAGTCTTCCTCCTCCTTCTCCAGAGCCATCCCTCTATACTTGTCCACCACACTTTCCATGCAGGCGAACCTTCTCCCTCAATCTTCCGGTAAAGTCGCTGGCTGAACTACTCCCACAGTGAAGCAGTCCGACGAGCCTACCCTCCCTGATTAGCTGCCTTCCCAAACGTAGCCCTCAGCAACCGTCCGAACCGACTCGAAAACTGAAAAAACAAACCCAACTTAGATTACCGACTCCCCGAGAACGAAGCTCGGAAACGAGACCCTCGCTTCACACGGCTCTCGGCGCAAGCGTAGCGAGATACCGGCGGCGGTGGATTGGCCTAGGCGTTACCGGTAGGTAACCCTAGAGAGAGACTTACATTCTCCTGAGGGCGAGAACGGAAATATATTCATTAATAAGTAAACAAAAATGATTTTTTAAAAATCTCTTTTTCGTGAAACGCATACCAAATTTTATTTAAAAAATGATCAAGTACAAACCCAAATGAAAAAAGAAATTAGAAAACAATTAAGCTAGTGAAAAGAAAATAAAAATCGGTCTCCTTCAATCAATAAAAAACCAAATAAGGTGCCCACGACGCAATTTTCCAAATGCCCCCAACGCGTTCATAATTGTCTCCACATAATCCCTGAAACAGACTCTTTCAAATATTATTGGCTCCTGACAAAAAGAGTCTATTGTTGATCCCCTTTTGCTTTAATGCGAGCACTCCTCCTAGGGATTGCTTGAAAACCGGTAAAGGGAATGTTTGGTTCAAGTAGACGATGTAGCAGCTCTCGATCTGTAAGTAACCTGTAAGTAACATGATTGAATCACACACAAACTTTTAAAAAATGTGTAAATACATTACGTGTATAATATGATATTTGTTACAAATTTTAATACAAAAAAGGAGGTTTTATTTTGAACATTTAAATTATATACACCACAAAATAACAAAAAAAGTAAACACGTGTTTTAAAAAACTATAAATACACATATTTCAAAACATTTTCCTACACATATTCTTCATTTCTGTCTAATACTCTCTTATCATCTTCATTTTCATACTCTCTGATTTTCTCTACACAATTCTATAATCTTATATTTACTTATATTAAAATATTTTATATCTATTTAGTTCAGTTATATACTTATATCTACTTATATTTAAATATACTATAACTAGTTATAATGTATTTACTTATATCTACATAATTTACTTATTTTAGTTTTATTCTATTATCTACTTATATTTACATATATTATATCCACGTATATACTTATTATCCACTTATATTTACATATATTACACGGAGTATATATTTGTATGAGTAATATACTTATATCTACTTATATTTAAATATATTATATCTACTTATATAATTATTATCTATTTAAATTTACATATATTATATTTACTCATATATTTAGTATATAAATGGAAATAATAAATATAAGTATAGTACTCATGTTATAGTAGTATACTTATATATATTATATACTATTAACATTATATTACATATCAGTTACTTTAACTATACATACATTAAATTATTAAGTATAGTATGTCCTTTATAATATTACACACACACACAACATACGAAATATATTTATATTAAGATGGGACCTTTTGCTAGTCCGTCACCTCCTGGCGAGCTACGAGCTTCAACCCTTTCACATCGAAAACCCTACATGAACGAAGGTTATAAACAAATCCAGTTAGGCAATATATGATGGGCTTAGGGTTAGAACGAGATGTTTCAAAGCCCAATTGTGTTTTTTCCGTAAAGCTCAGGAGAACTTGGAAGTGGTGTGAGCTGCTAGTTAAATAAGATATGAGAACTAAACAAATTTAGTAGATGCACATTTTATTCGAAAACGTGAATAAAAAAAATAGTCAATTATTCTATAAAAAACATGGACTTTTAAAAAATGTGCAAATATATTACGTGTATAATATGATATTTGCTACAAAAATTTATACAAAAAACGGGGTTTTATTTTTAGCATTAAAATTATATACACCACAAAATAACAAAAAAAAAGTGAACACATATTTTAAAAAACTATAAATACACATATTTCAAAACATTTTTCTACACATATTCTTCATTTCTCTCTACACTCTGATACTCTCTAATCATCTTCATTTTCATACTCTCCGATTTTCTCTACACAATTCTATAATCTTATATTTACTGATATTAAAATATATTATATCTATTTAGTTTAGTTATATACTTATACATACTTATATTTAAATATACTATAACTAGTTATAATGTATTTACTTATATCCACATAATTTACTTATTTTAGTTTTATTCTATTATCTACTTGTATTTACATATATTATATCCACTTATATACTTATTATCCACTTATATTTACATATATTATACGGAGTATATATTGGTATCAATAATATACCTATATCTACTTATATTTAAATATATTATATTATATCGAGTAAGGCGATACATGATGGGTTTAGGGTTAGAACAGGATGTTTCAAAGCCCAATTGTGTTTTTTTCCTGAAAACTCAGGAGAACTTGGAAGTGGTGTGAGCAGCTACTTAAGTAAGGTACGAAAACTAAACAAATTTAGTAGATGCACATTTTATTCGATAACGTGAATAAAAAATAGTCAATTATTCTTTAAAAACATTAACTTTTAAAAAATGTGCAAATATATTACGTGTATAATATGATATTTGCTACAAAAAAACATGGTTTTATTTTGAGCATTTAAATTATATACACCACAAAATAACAAAAAAAAAGTAAACACATATTTTAAAAAACTAATACACATATTTCAAAACATTTTTCTACACATATTCTTCATTTCTCTCAACACTCTGATACTCTCTAATCATCTTCATTTTCATACTCTCCTATTTTCTCTACACAATTCTATAATCTTATATTTACTTATATTAAAATATATTATATCTATTTAGTCTAGTTATATACTTATATATACTTATATTTAAATATACTATAGCTAGTTATAATGAATTTACTTTTATCTACATAATTTACTTATTTTAGTTTTACTAGTATTGCACTCGTGCGATGCACGGGACAAAAGTTTGTAGTTGTTTTTGTTTATAATAATGTAAGGCGCATATTGAAATGTTTTTGTAGATATTATTATTCAACTAACAATTAAAGGCATGTATGATATATAACGAAAAGATCTCTCATTTCGTAAAACAAACACTTCACAACGTAAAAAGCATTAAACATTCTCAAAAATAAATAATAAAAAATATTAAACATTCAGAAAAACTTCTGGATACACAACATTTAATGTTGACGAACTCGAGGTACCATCGTCGTTGCATATCAATATCTTTAACCCTTCACGCTTGGTAACTCGTGACACGGCCACGTACAGTTGCTCATGACAAAACACAGGATTATTTAAGAATAACCCAACATGAGAAAGTGATTGACCTTGACTTTTATTGATCGTCATTGCATATGACACCATTATGGGGAATTGTCTTCGCTGGAACCTAAAAGGCACCCTCACATCTGAAGGAGTTAAGTTCAATCTTGGAACCAA